GGAACTGTCACTCAATGTCTGGTGGCCCTAACAGGAAGGGTTGAAGAAAATCTAGCCTGTGAGCTCCTCTGGGTCCTTGCTCCCCTCTAATGACTCACTCACTACACACATACACACCCATTCACATCCTGCTATTGTCTTCATCAACACAAATGATGCAGACCCATGCTTTTCTAGTCATCAGAGCCTTGGGGGTTAGTCCAGGGGTCCCAGGAGGCCCCCCTAGAGCCCAGCCCCCTCCTTATCAGGCTAGCCATATCTGCTCTCCTGAGCTCTTGCCAAGGGAACTTGTAGGACCAAACAATCCCTGCAGCTCAGCCTCCCCTCCACCTACCCTGCTGTGGGCAAGCCATGCAAATATCAGAAACGGCACTGGGGTAGGGCAAGATTTAAGCAAAGTGTTAGCAGGGATTGGGTGGAGAGGGAGGGGGGAGAGCTTGGAGATGGCCCAGTCAGCACCAGCGAGATCTCAGCCTGGAGAAAGGAGGCTCAGGGACCTCACTTTGGGCTGCAAGGATGCAGCATCTGGACCAGTAAAAAGCCACTGACTGTCATCAATACTCTCGCCTTCTTATACTGAGCACTTATAGAGTACCTACTGCATTGACAGCCCTGTACCAGGGAACAGGGAAGTGAGAATGCACAGATGGTAAAGCCTGCCACCAAGGAGCTTGCTAATAGAGAGATAGTCAGTGATGGGTACAGAAATCATTATAATCTGAAGCAAAAAGTGTAAGTGATGTGATAGAGACAAACCATGTGCCATGGAGATTTAGCGTGGAAAATAATGGCTCCAAGCTGGGGGATCAGAGAAGCCTTCATTCAAATGGGTCTCGAAGTATGGGGAGGGTTTTGACAAGTAGAGAAAGACATGGGGGTGGGGTAGAGCACCTCAAGGGAGGAAACAGCAAGAACAAAGGAAAAGAGTTGAAGAGGCAGCTCGTTTCATTTATTCTTTCAACAAACACTGATGGAATGCCTAGAGTCAGAGAGCAGGACAGACATGGGCCTATCTTAATGGAGCTTCCAGTCTGGAGGGGAAGACAGGACATGAGCTAGTGAACAAACAACCAGATGGAGGGGTGCGCAGTCCAGCCTGGCTAAAGTAAAGGACCTTGGCTAGAGAACTGAGGAGCCCACTCCAAATGAGTTCCACCAAGAGATGTTCCCTGAGCCCTGCATCCAGTGACACATTCTCGGGATCCTCTGCCCTTGATGGCCCTCAAATGCATTCCCACCCTCTTTAGCCCCCAAACAATATGGTTTCAAACCCCAAATCCTCTTTGTCATTGTCCCTCCAAACCACCATTTGTTCACATCCCGTGAGAGAGAGATGCCTGGAGCAGTGTATGTCACCCCACCTGGGAGAGAGGGACACAGGCAGAAGGCTTCCACCTGTGCCTGAAGACCCTCCCTCCCAGGACAGCAGCCATCGTGGGTGCCCAAGCTCATTCCTCAAGCCTCAGTGAACTCTGGGTGATGGCCCTCCTGACCCCGCCCTGTACATAGAGCCTCTCTTCTAGGAGATACAGTGGCCAGCTGGGCAAGGCAGAAATGTACTGGCCATGTGGGCTTTGTCTGTATAAATCCCCCATCTCACTCGTAAGCCTGGGCAGCTACAGTTCTGCGTGAGGAGGGGAGCATGCTGGGAGCCTTGAAGGTTTAGCTCAGGACTTTGACTTTATTCTGCAGGAAGTTACTGTTGAGAATCAGTGCTTGCAGGCAAGGTAAGGAGGAGGGCTGGAGTGAACTTGAGGTTCACTCATATGGCAGTGATGCCAGCAGGAATGGATAAGCAAGAGAGAGGGGCTGGAGTGAGGAGAGGAAGGACCAAGACCTTTAGAGTTTTGGGTGCTCCTCCAGCTGCTGGCTGAGAGCAGCACCCACTTGAGCACCACACACTCATGCTCTCCTAGGCAAATTGGACATTTTCCTAAAGGTCCAGCACCCGCTCCCCAGAGGCCCCCTTTGCATGCTGCTTTTCATGATACTTAACTCCTCCAGCACTGGGACAGGTGCCAGGACAGCACTCCCGAGGCCAGGAGGCAAAGGACCCAGTGCATATCCCATTGTGGTGGTATGGGTGAGTTTGGCGTCAACGCATCAAAAAGTTTGAGCAGGGTTGTGACATCCTGCTTTCCTTCCACACCCAGTCATGCTCTAGGGAGAAGTGGAAAAGACACAAAGCATTGCTACCAGAAAGCTCAGGCCCAGCCTAAAGGCTGAAAAGAGCAATTTGCTTCTACACCTGTATCCTATTTGTGACACTAACTCTTCCACCTGGACTAGTAGAACAGGAGAACCTGATTCAGCTGGAAGAGAAAAGCCAAAAACTTTCCCACCCCCACTCCCACCTAGCCTGGGTTCAAATCCCACTCCTCCACCTACAAGCTGTGTAAAGTTTAGCTAGTAACTTAACGTCTCTGAGCCTCAGTCTCCACCTCAGTAAAATAGGGACAATAGCACCTATTCCATAGGGTTGTATGAGGATTCCACAAGGTAAGGCAAGTAAAGTGCTGTCGTAGGGCCTGACACAGGGAAGGTCCGGTCAATGCAAGTTCTTGTTGTTCACACAGAGACACACAGACCGCTAATGTGGTTACATGCAGATACACACATACGGAAGCCCAAAGCCACAGCAAGCACACATAGCACACACAGGGATGCACAAAGCTACCCTGTCCAGGCTCTTGCTCTGCGTCAGCCCCGCCCCACCCTCTCACCCCAGACAGGAGTCATCTGGTTGGAGCTGGGTCTGACCTGCTCTTCTGGGAGAGCTGGTGGGCATCAAAGGGAGCCCTTTAAGCTCCTCCCTGATACGCAGGGCCCTGGCCTGGTTCCCACAGACACTCTGGAGGCCTGAGCTCCAGGCATGGAACCCCACGACCCACCCTTTTATCTTTTAATCTGGGAGAGTAGAAGTAGAAGACGGAGCCAGGAAAGGATTTTTTATCCATAACCTACAAACACACAGACACCCACGGAGACATAAGAAAACTGGACATAAAAGCACCTGCGTTATGCCCACAGGCCACAACTCCCTGCCCAGTAGGGAAGGGACCCAGCAACCTCAGATTTAAATCCTCTGGCTTCAAACTCAGCGCTTTTTACTCTATGCCATGCCACCTTAGCACTGTCTCCACCACCACCATTGCCACCCTCAGTGTGACCAATATCATCACCACTATCACCATCATTACTGCTATCACCACCATCACCACCACCACCACTGCCATTCCCGTTGTGACCAAAATCACTACTACCATCATTATCATTACTGCTATCACCACCATCACCATCATCACTGCCACCATCACAACCATCACCACCTTCACCTCCATCAGCACCATCTCCACTACCACCATTATCACCCCCATCATAGCCACCACTATCATTGCCATCACTACATCATCATATCATCATTGTCTGAACTGATGGAGGACCCTGATACAGCAGGGAGGAAAGACCCAATGGGAAGAGCAGAAGCAGGGTGACATGCTTCCTAGGAGCCCAGGCGACAAGGTTCAGAAGCTCAAGCCTCTGCGGCAGCCCTGGATTGCCCCAAACTCCAACCCTGCTGGAGAGAGAGTCTTCCCAGCCTGTGTCTGCACCTTCTTGCCCTCCTCCCACACCTATAGTGAACTGGTCCCCATCAGGTGTGACGCTGGTGGTTTCCCTGTGCCGGAGGTGGCTGTGGAGAGAGAGGCCTGGAGGGGAGGGGCAGAACCCTGGCTACACCCACAGGATTGGCCAGCACCTGACTAGAAGGTTTCTCAAAGAGACGGTGACCTCAGCCACTGTCCTGAGCTCTGTCCACCTCAGCCATGAGGTGGGCACCCAGTGGGCACAGAGGGCTTCAGGACCCACCCTC